GAATGACTTGTCCGTTGTTTGCGATACTTATCTCTATACCATATTAAAGCCTTGGTGGCTTGCCACTCCAGGCAAGTCTTTATAGTGTTGGTATTACTCCCCATGCTATCTTTAATCTTTAATTGTGATAATTGCCTTTAGTACACTAATCTCGCAATGTCTAGTCAACAGCTAGCTAAACAAATATAATTTACATTGAACTGAGTATACTGTGGACGAAAATAACAAATTAAACAAGCAGCTGATAAGAACAGAAAGCTAATAAAATAACAGTAATTAAGTACAGTACTAGCTTTGAAAAGGTTGACAGATGACGCATGTACCACTGAAAAAGGAAGACCATTCCCGACCGGGATTAGCAATGATGACATTTTCCTCGAATGGAGGCCCTTGATGCAGGCATATTAAAAGGGAAATATCCCCAAGTAGGATGAGAAAATATTATAGTGGGGAAATCCTATTTTGTGGTGTTTTAAGGCGTTACGTTTCTCAGAATATTGTTGCAGTTACTGGAAATCTACGGTTAAATAGGTTCACTTTGTTTTATGTATTTAATTGATAGATTTTCGCAGTTAATGTGTGAAGTCGTGTTGCACTTTATAAATACTTGAGATATCAAGTATCCACTGTCGCTTAAAGGAACAGTATCCCGTTACTGCGCATGCACCAAACTTTGATTTTTGGACAGGATGTCCCGAAATCAAAAGATGCGAGGAGAGTAAGAGAACCTTGAAAAATCCGTTTGCATCGCGCTTGGCCGAGTTCAATACTACACTAAAACTTCTCAGGATTACAGATCAATGATATATTGTTCCTGTTAAGTTTCGATTTGGGCCAAATCTGGATTTTTAGGCGTTCCTTTTATTGCCGTTGGCTGGAGGACCAAAAGATGGGAAGCGCTTTGATGCCGACTGAAGGCTTATTTCTTCTGCTAGCTTCCATACAAGCTCAGATAATTGTGAAAGGAATACGCAGAAATGAAACAGCAACAATAAAGACTGTAAGAAAGAAACCGTTGAGACATGGATGTGACTGAGGAGATCTTGTGGAGGGGAGCTTCGTGAAGCAGAATGTTTTGCAACGACGCGTTAGTAAACTTTAAAATGAATCTTCCTACGGCCGACAAAATCAAATAAACAGGCGCTACATGTTTAGAAAAACTAGTTCCATGAAATTATAATGTAATTTTTGATTAACCTTTGCGATGATTCATAGCGTTGAGATTGCATTTTTATTTGTGTCTTTCCATCGTTTGAGGCTAGAACGTGAGCAAATCAGGCAATTATTACTGGACTTGGAACAATTGACCTCTGACACGAGTTACATTAGAAAACCTGTTTTTAAAGCGAGCGGAAAGAGATTTTCGGGTCGCGCGGCGGCCCTGCTAACGATAAAATCGCGATGAATCTTCGTGCCGCAAGCCAAATTTGAAATAAGACGAAAGATTTCTTCGAAAGTCTAAAATATTACCTGAGAATATAAACAACAAATCTCCGTCGGCGGTGCGGTCCGGAAGGAAATCTTGTCGAGTCAATTTGACAGTTCTATTGTCTTTTGAAGAAAAAACAGATGACGCTCGCGCGTGCGCATAATCGGGACACTGTCCCTTTAATTTTTATGTGCGTACGTGCGTAAAATTTACGTTCGCAAATAAAATAGAGGCAATGTGTGAAAGGTCGCACGTACAATTATGTAGGCGTAAAAGTAGAAACTAGCTCAACTTGACGTTTAATCTCAACCATTTATATCTTGCCTCTATATTATTTACATGATTAAAATTTATCTGCATTAACGTGTGGGGCCAAAAACGCGTCAGTGGAAATCCACCCTAACGTTACGTATGTGTCACGGATGTTTTTATACGGGTAGCTTTGAACTTGACTATCCGCGCACTATACTTGCAGCACTTCATTTCCATAGAATAGAAATCCCATATCGAGCTATTCCGCAACGACGCGTAAAGCTCTTTTTGTCGCTAAATAAGGCTGTTAGGTTCTTTATTTTTGTCCAAAGTGCCTCAGGATCTGAATAACTAAGCAATTTTCTTTCTAGTTCGAGAATGTGATGTTTTCCTGCAATGTTGTATCACGCTGGGCCCAGATCGTTAGTTTTTTAAATTATTTGCAGGATGTTAAACTTTCACGGATAGCGATTTACAGAGATGAATTTAGAAGAATGAACTGCAGCTTAAACTAAAGCTTCATCAGCTGTGGAGCATTGTGACTCAGACAAGATAAAAGCAATGATAAACTCCAGCCTGTTTTTCTTAAGACAATGCGAGTCTTTGGACTGGAACGACTGTTTGGTTGTTTTGTTATTGTCGGCTACTCATTTCCGGAAGAGCGGTCACGCGTGTCTAATTAGGGGTGTTTCTCATTTTCACAGTGTTTTCGTGCGGGCGTTTTCTCTTCTCTCTCCCCGCCCCCTCCCCGCTTCCTTTGGCTCGCCCCATCTCCTCCTCTCTTCGGAAAGTTTCAACATGGCGCATTCGCGAGCAAAT